TCAGCAGAGGAGGAGGGACTGGAGGGGGTTTCAGTTTGGAGCTGGCTGGGACTAGGAGTGAGGGCAGACAGGGGTGTCTGGCTCGTGGGACCCCAGGATGGATCCGGCTGAGGGGTCGGTTCTCTGGACCTACAAGCTCTGTTTTAAACCATGTTCCTGTCATCTAATAAACCCCTCTGTTTTACTGGCTGGCTGAGGGTCACATCTGACTGCGAAGTGAGGGTGTGTGCAGGACCCTCTGGCTTCCCCAGGATCCTGTCTGGGCGGACTCGCTGTGGGAAGCGCACGGAGGGGCATATGCTGAAAGCTCCAAGGAGAGACCCAGGAGGTGAAGCCGTGTGAGCTTCTTGCCCTGAAGACAGTCTGCTCCAAGGAAGAGGAGGCTCCCCAAAGTCCTGACTGGCTTTGTGGGGAGCAGTTCCAGAGCATTGCCAGGGGACTCCGTGACAAAAGGCACCAGAGGCGCTCCTGGCAATTACAGGCCAACTTCAGGACCAGGCAAATTGGTCAGAATTATCAGACACCCAGACTGAACATGGTCTGTTGAGGAAGAGAAAACACAGTATTTATAAAGGGAAATCATGTCTCACCAATCCATTAAATTCTTGGAGATCATCAACACGCAGGTGGACAAGGGTAATGCAGTGGATATAGTGTACTTGGACTTTCAGAAAACCTTTGACATGGTCTGTCACCAATGGCCATTAAGCAAACTAAGCAGTCATGGCATAAGATGGATCAGTAACTGGTTAAAAGACAGGAAACAAAGGGTAGGAATAAATGGTCAGTTTTCAGAATGGAGAGAGGTAAATAGTGGTGTCCCCCAGGGGTCTGTACGGGGACCAGTCCTATTCGACATATTCATAAATGATCTGGAAAAAGGGGTAAACAGTTAGTTGGCAAAGTTTGGAAAAGATACAAAATTACTCAAGATAGTTAAGACCCATGCAGACTGCGAAGAGCTACAAAGGAATCTCCCCAAACTGGGTGACGGGGCAACAAAATGGCAAATGAAACTCAATGTTGATAAGTGCAAAGTAATGCACATTGGAAAACATCATCCCAACTATACATATGAAATGATGGGGTTTAAATTAGCTGTTACCACTCAAGAAAGATCTTGGAGTCATTGTGGATAGTTCTCTGAAAACATCCACTCAATGTGCAGCGGCCGTCAAAAAAACTAAGGGATTGTTAGGAACCATTAAGAAAGGGATAGATAGAAAATATCATAATATCACTATATAAATCCATGGTACGCCCACAGCTTGAATACTGCATGCAGTTCTGTTGGCCCATCTCAAAAAAGATACATCAGACATGGATAAGGTGCAGAGAAGGGCAACAAAAGATTAAGGGTATGGAACAGCTTCAGTATGAGAAGAGATGAATAAGACTGGAACTTTTCAGCTTGGAAAAGAGATGACTAAGGGGGGATATGAAATCATGACTGGTGTGGCGGAAGTAAATCGGGAAGTGTTATTTACTCCTTCTCATAACACAAGAACCAGGGGTCAGCCAGTAAAATTAACAGGCAGCAGGATTAAAAACAAACAAAAGGAAGTATTTCTTCACACAACGCACAGTCAACCTGTGGAACTTGTTGTGAAGGCCCAAACTATAACTGGATTGAAAAAAGAACTAGATAAGTTCCTGGAGGACAGGTCCAGCAACGGCCATTAGCCAAGACGGTCAGGAATGTATGCAAGCCCGTGCTCTGGGTGTCCCCAAGCCTCTGACTGCCAGAAGCCAGGTCTGGCTGACAGGAGATGGATCACTCAGTGACTGCCTGTTCTGTTCGTTCCCTCGGAAGCACCTGGCATTGCCGCTGTCAGAAGACAGGCTGCTGGGCTAGATGGACCATTGGTCTGACCCCGTGTGGCTGCTCTTTTAACACGTCCCCATGAGACTGAGGCTGAGTGAGGCTCCCCTTCTTCTCCCTGAGAGACTAGGAAAGCAGCATAGGACCCCGCGTTACACTCCTGAGCAGCTGCAGGCCCCGGCTGTGTTAATTTCAATGGAATACATGGTCCCAGAGAGTCAAAGTGTTAACATGTCCCTGTCTGGGGCTTGGCGCACAGACCTCAGCCTGCTTAGTCCCACGGCAAACACACCATTGACAATCCTCTTAACCTTTTATTAAAAGAGTTGAAGCATTTGCAACGTCAGGTTTTCCTTGTAACAACAGGCCTCGTTCCCTTTCCTGTTAGCTGGAGAGGGTCTTTAGAAAGTATCCCCCCCGCCCCGTGTTAAAGATGGGAATTACTGACCGTTTGGGGGGAAAGGTGGTGTTATGTGGCTTCCCAGCACTCTAAGAACTGGCACAGGCTCAGGCAACATGCTGCAATGGCACGGAGCTGTGGCAGGGAACAGACTAGATACTGGGGGAAGTGTCACAGCAACAAGGATGAGTGGGCCAGAGAGCAACTCCCCAGCAGGCACCCCAGAGACTCCGAGGAGTGAGGGGTCCTGCTGGACTTAGGTGTGCCAAGCTGCCACAAGGGTTGCTTTATGGCACCGTTAAATGCTGGGTGTCTGTAGAGACCCCAGCCCCATCCCTGAGCTGGCCTTTTTCTCCTGCCTGCTGGCTCTCATGGTATGGTGCAGCTGAAGAGCTTTCCAGATCACACACCTTTTCAGGACCCTAATAACCTAAGTCACTTTTGAAAATGGGATTCAGGCTCCTAAGTCATTTAGGCACTTTTGAAAATTCTCCCCCTTGGTCCTACTGCCATAGATTTTTCACGGATACTTTTAGCTTCCCTTTTCAATTGTCTGCATTTCTTACCTGCTGATACGTATTCCATGGTATCAGCTTCCCCATTTTTATATGTATATTTTTGTTGCTTCTTTCACCTCTCCTCTTCACTAGGATTTTTTTTATTAATTAAAAAGCCTTCTTTTGTGATTGCAGAACAGTGTCTGCTGTTTGGTTTTGCATCTAATAAAGCATTCTTAAACCATTCCCAATCATCATCCACATTTGCACGTTTAAATATTTCCTCCCCCTCAGTTTTGCTCATGGTTGTTTGCACTTTGGGGAAGTTGGCCCTTTTAAAGCATCAAGTATCTATATTCCTGGACTTGACTATATTCTGTTTGCACCTAGTAAATGAAATTGTCATGATCGCTTATGCCTACGCAACCATCAAATTTAGTTCTATGATCAATTCAGCTGTATCTGTCAGAATGAGGAATGACCCCAATTCTTGTGTCAGAAAGTCATCTATAATTTTTAGAACCTCCAAGCATATCTTACTAGTGGCAGCATGAAAGCTCCAGCATGCCTCCCCCCGGACAACGAAATCCCTCCTGATAACACTCTCTTTCTTTCTACACATTAGGGATGGATGTTTAAGCAGCTGCTCATCCTGCTCCCTTGTCCGACTGGTCTCTATAACAGACGCCACCCAGTATCCTGCCTTGTGACACGTCATTAATACACTGACCCAGTTAATACTCCTGCCCGTCTGAACTGAGCTGTCAGTCACTAGTGCAAGGGGGCAGGATCTGTGATGTCCAGGCCACGCCCCTTCTGCTCACTCTGTCCTTCCTGACCAGGGTGTATCCAGTGACATCAACATCCCCGTCATGTGACTCCTTCCACCAGGGGCAGGGGTCAAAATCATAGCCGATCTCTTTCATAACTGAGCCTAATTCCTTGTTTATTACCCGGCTTCCAGCACTGAAGCGTGCCTCCACTGTACACTCCGCTGCCTTACTACGTGCAGTGTTTTTACCCCCAGGAGATGACCCACTCGGCCACCCAGCCAAACCCCTTTACTTTTCTCCCCCAGACAACGGTCCCCTCCGTGATGTCCGAGCAGGGATGGAGCTGAGATGTAGCACTGAGGGCCTCACTTGTGAGCATTAAAGAGCCTGTGGACACTTTCCTGAGAATTGTGTCACTGTCCTGGCGCTGCTAGTTACGCTCCATGTCCGCGAGCACCCTCTGCGGTTTCCTACGACTGAACGCTCGGCCTGCTCTGTATGCCATGGGGAATTTTCTGAAATATTTTTATAAACTCTATGCGTGCCTCAGTTTCCCTCTGTATTTTGCAGTGCTGCGCAGTGGGTGCCTCCTGCCCAAGTGACCAAGTGCGGCACTCAGGTAAAAACTGAAAGGGTCTCCCCATCTTGGGCTTCAGTGCACAGCTGGTCACCAGTGGGAGAAGGGTTCAGGAAGGATCCCCAGCCCCGCTCAGCAGCACAGCCTGGCCCAGACAGGTGCATTGGAGGGCCCGAACTCTTCACCAGACTTCACCCCCCCATGGTTTCCAGCTGGGCTCTGAGCTCCATGTGCAATCTAGCAGAGGGCTGCACACGCTGCCCCTGCTGGCCATGGGGAACCTGAAGAGCACCTGGCCTTGCTGGGGTAACGACCGCACTTCCCTAGCACCACTGGCCCCCGGGCCCAGCAGATAGCGAGGCCAGGACAGACCCTCTCTCTGGGGCCTGATAGAACCATTCAAACGAGCCCAGGAGTCAGGCTATGAGCCTCGTCCCCAGAACCCACCTCCAGCCCCTCTGCCGCGCCAGGCCGGGCTCTGCAGGGAACGGGGGCGGCTTTTCCTGGGGGCAGGGGATAGTGCCACACAGCACCCCCCCTTGCTTGGAGCAGGCACCACTGGAGTACATCCCCCCTCGCCCCGGCCTCCCCCGCCCTTCGTCTCAGTACCCGCCCTCCCCGCACCCCGGCACAGCGCCCGCGCCAACGACCCCAGGGGCCGAAACGCAGCTGAGCTCAGGGAGAGGGTAGGTGCCACTGGCGGGCCCCAAACACAGCCCCTCGGGGATGGGAGCACAGCCAGCGACCCACGGCTCAGAGGGGTGGGATGAGGAGCTCCCTGCACACCGTGGGGGTGACCGGAGCTCAGTGACCTTGTGACCAAGTGGCCTTAGACGCAGCTGGGATGGACAGGGAAGAGGAGAGCCGGGCTCCTGTCCGGCTGTATTGAACAGAGAACCGCAGAACAGCAATCAACAGCAGGTGTCTTTATTCAGTCCAATTGGCACAGGCCCCAGCGACTGCCCTGGGACCTTCCCACCCCAGGTGCTGCTGGAGGGTGGCTACAGCGCACACAACCCGACTCACCATAACGGGGGTCAGACTGCACATCCCAGGCAACCAGCCAGCCCTGCGCTCCCCCCGGTGGGGTGGGTGGGGGGCGGCTTCCACGCACTGCTCAGCTAGTGCACACGCAGACCCCTCCCATCACCAGCCCCCAGGAAGGACCAGGAGCCCTGGGAGGATGCAGGTGCCAGCCCCCAGGGAAATGCTACTCGCTTCCTAGCGGGACCCTGGGAAGTCTCGGAGAAGCCCTGGAATCCAGTGACCTGAAGGGGAAAGGCAGGATGCAAACCCAAGGAGATGGAGTGCGGTGGCAGTGCTATGCAGCCCATCCATGCCCAAGCCTCTGCCGCAGCCAGCGCTTCTCTTTGCAGGGCCCAGCCAAACTAATCCACAGCACACGTCCCACTCGCCAGCTGCCCACAAAGGGCTCAAATGCTACAGTGTCCCCAGAGCAAATCCACTCAGCGCACGGCCCCACTGCAGGAAAGCACGGGCCGGATGGACGGCAGGATGCGGGGGGGCCCATAGGGCAGGGTGTGTGGGGGGGGACAGGACGCAGGGAGGCCCATGGTGGGGGTGGGGAGAAGCAGTAGTCACTGTGGCGGGAGTGCCCATCCTGTGGCACCAGCAGGCGACGCTTCAGAGGGGCTCCAGTGGTGCCAGTCATGCTGGGCTGCGGCCCCGGGGCAGAGGCTCGGTGCTCCCCAAGCACCGGCCCTGCCCAGCGACTGCCTTCCTCCAGGCCGCAGAGCGCGGGGCTGGGCCGGCCGGGCTCCCGCTCAGCACGTTCATGGCCCCGCTCGCTCCGGGGGTGGGGCATCGCGGGCTCTAGGCAGGCTCCTTCCGCAGCGGCTCCGCTGGCCACGGCAACCGTCACACTTGCACGCCGGGAGCTTGCGCCAGGCCCAGGGCCTGCACCACGTCATCGCTCAGGCCGCTCTTCAGAGTCCGCCGCACTGGGGAGAAAGGCAGAATTAGGGCCCTGCTGCCGGCGTCACACGGAGGGCGGGTCGGCAGGCAGGGCACAG